ATTTAATATATATATATATATAGGGAGCATATCAAGTGAGAAGAATTTATTATGAGAAGGTGAGAAGGTTAAAATATAATCCTTAGATTAATCAAGTGAGAGAAAATTTGAGATTCAATCAAGTGAGAGAAAATTAATCTAAGGGTTATATTTTAACCTTCTCACCTTCTCATTAATCTAAGAGCAACATAACTGTTCTACGAGTCTAGGCTCTTGGCCTTCAACTTTTATGGATCTTTTTGAATATAGGTATTTTAGACTTGATGGATCATCTACTATTCAGTGACGCAGAGACATGTGGTTGAGGAATGATTTGTTGCATAAGGCAATGTAATGTGGTTGAGGACCCTTGTGCATGCTTTTACTTCTATGATAATAGTTCTTTGGGTAGTTTCAATGCATGAAGTTTATCATTTAGTATTGTTACTCGCAGATTCTAAGAGTAAAGAAAGATTCTGTGTAACTGTGGTTAGTTGTTACTTCTATGATGTACAACAGCTCCGCAATTAATAAATCAAAATAGATGGGCTGGATTTTAGTCTGTAGGGACAAATGATAAAACATGGTTTTGGAGAATTGTGGGCTTGGGTATTAAGGGTTTTTTGTGTCAGAAATTTAGCATCGCCCCAAAAAGGTTGAGGAACGTTACCATGAAGTAAGAGGGTGCGAGTGGTCTCAATTAGGTGTCTATTTTTACGCTCAGCCACCCCATTTTGTTGAGGGGTATATGCACAAGAAGTCTGATGAAGAATGCCATGGGAAGCCATGAAGGCTTTAAAGGAGTGAGAGAGGTATTCACGAGCATTATCACTACGAAAAGTACGAATAGAAACACCAAATTGAGTTTGAATTTCATTATAAAAGGATTGAAATATGGAAAATAATTCGGAACGAGATTTCATTAAAAATAACCAAGTACATCGAGAGTAATCATCAATAAAAGTGACAAAATACTGAAATCCGAAAGAGGACTTGACCCGACTCGGCCCCCAAATATCAGAATGAACTAAAGCAAAAGGAGACAACGCTCGGTTGGGGACACTCGGAGAAAAAGAACTACGACTATGTTTGCCTAATTGACACGACTCACACGACAAATGAGACAACTTAGACAGACGTGGTACAAGTTGTTGAAGCTTGGCAAGGCTAGGATGACCTAATTGAGCATGGATGAGGGAAGGGGAATCTGCCACCAAACCAACAGGAGCAGAGGTGCGTAGGTGATAAAGGCCATGAGACTCACATCCGGTGCCAATCATCCGTCCCGAACTCCGGTCCTGTAAGAAAACAGAATCTTTAGTAAAAGAGATAAGACAATCAAGAGAGCGAGTAAGACGACTAAGGGATAATAGATTAAAGGGAGACTCTGGGACATAAAGGACA